CAGAGATCCACGGCCAGGCACCAGGCTGAGCTCTGGGAATCCAACTGATGAGAGAGAGGAGGGATTCTGCAGGCAGGGGACATCGAGATCATGATGGGAGAACATGCAGAGATGACAGGCCACACTATGAACTGTGGACTGGTGGCCATGGAGCCCCCATGGGACTGGACTAGGTCCTCTGGATATGGAAGATGATTGTTTGGCTCAGATTGTTTGGGGAGCACCCAGGCAGGGGATCGGAATCCATCCCTGGTGCATGGGCAGGCAGGCTTCTGGGAATCTGGTGCCTGTGATGTGATGCCTTGCACAGCCTTGGTGCAGTGGGAAGGGTCTTGGACTTGCCTAGGCTCAGTGTGCCAGGCTCTGCTAACTCCCCATGGGAAACCTTGATTTGAGGGATATAGGGATGTAGGGTGGCTAGGGAGAGAAGGCTGGGGGTGGGAGGAGGGAGGAGGAGGGATCTGTGGGTGATATGTGGAGTGAATAGAAAATGTCTTAAAAAAGAAAAATGAAAAAAAAAGAAAAGAATAAGCCTCCATGTGTATTTATTTGGGAGCTGGGTAGTGGGCCCCCTAAAGAGCAAAAGAGTAAAATAAACAACAACAGATATCCTCATCTACCTGAAGGTTTTCCTTATACCTTGGAGGTTGTAAAACACATAAAGAAACCAGAAGGCTCTTTATGAAGTTCTGAGATATTCTTGAAATATCTGCTCCATACTTCCTCAGGAACAAGATAACAGAACAAAGCAAATGTAAAAGGTCAACAAGATTCAGTGGCTATAGGAGTTGGAAGATCAGATTACAAGCCTCTTCCTACTAGACACTCAAGTGATTATGTGGCATATACAGCAACAATGTTAGATTAGCTGAAGTTACATCTGCCCTACATAGGGACTTATCTTGATGGGCAAAGAATGATGTGGAAGGATAATAAAAGAATGAGGTTTGAAAAGTTAACTCATGCAGAGCCACTGTGGTGTCTTTTGAACCAGGAGCAAAAGAATGCTAGGATAAGACTTATAAGTGAATTCTATAAAGATATAAAATATAAACATTGTATTATTCAAGAAATGGAATAATAACTGCAGCAGCTTTGGCCTGAGTTTTTTCTTGGGTGCTCTGACCATTAAGAGTTAATACACTGCTCAGAACATGGCAATCTCCCAGGGCTGGCTTGGAGATATCCTTTCTGTATAGTGTCCTTGAAGCCACAAAAGCTGGCAGCCTGAGAATGGGCTGTCATATGCCTCTAGATTCTTAAAAATTACGTTATGGGTTTATGAGTGAAAATGATTGTAAAACATTACTCTGTTTATCAATGATGACTAAACTTAAGGGAAAATGTAAAAGATAACTCAGTTCTGTCATAGTTTATCAATGATGACTAAACTTGTGACCCCAGATGTACAAATGAAATAAGTTAAATATATGTTCAAAACCAAAAATGACATGATCTATGTTTTGGAACAATATGAACTTATCCCTGCTCTCTGAGGTCTGTACAAATAAAGAAGCACTCTGTCTGCTAATCAGTCAGACTGTGAAATAATTTGACAACCCATAGCCTGACTTAATCCTCCCTCACCAACTGCCTACCTCTCTCTGGGACCTGGCCACCACAGAACTGGTGGTCCCCAGCAGTTGTGTGAGTAACCAACCACTGTCTGATTGTAATTAAGGGCCACTCTGTAAGATGGAACCCATACCTGATACTGCTCGGTTGGTCAAGAACCCGAGACTACATATTTCCAGGTCATAGGGGGAAACCAAATACTAAATTCTCCTAATGAAACATACCAATAAAATGACTCCTAACAACATTATGCTATACTCATAGATCAGTGCCCTGCTCAGGCATCCTCAGAGAAGCTTTCTCCTGTAGTAGATGGGAATAATACAGAGACCCAAAACTGGACAATGTTGAGAGAACTTGAAAAGAAAAAAGAGAAATGGAGACTTTGGAACACTCCATCCTAAATGGGAAGTGTCCATCAAATTCTTCCCCTCAGGCCTCAGAGAACTCTGAAGAAGAGGAGGAGGAAAGATTGTAGAGTCAGATGGGTTGGAGGACACTGAGGAAACAGGTCTTCTAGACACAGCAGGACTGACACATATATGAGCTCACAGAGACAGAGGCTGCATGCACAGGACCTATACAGGTCTTGGCCAGAGAGGGTCCCAGTCCTGATGGGGGAACTGGACACATGAGCCCACCCCTAACCCATAAGCTACCTCCAATTGGTAACCACTAACGAAGGAAAAATTAGTCTTCACCAACGGAGTCTCACAGGGTATACAAACCACACTTAAGGGCAGGTCCCATGCCCAGTGGCAGATGGCCGAAAGGATACAAACTCAATGGTATTGTTGGAGGGCTTTTTTCTTTTTTCTGTTTTGTCTTACAATGCTTCATCAGAGCATTATTTATTTCCTTTTTCCCTTACAGATCTTTTCTTTATATATTATGATTCCCAATTTTGTTTTAATGGGTTTTCTGTGTGTGCAAATGTGTGTGCATCAGCATCTGTATGTGTTTCTTGTGTGTTTTCTTTTTTCTATTTTCTATTTTGTCCTATTCTGATTTGTTTGTTTTTATTTTATTTTTTCTTATTTTCTTATTATTATTATTCTTATTATTTTAGATGCCTGTTTTATTCCAGTGAGAGAGAAAATAAAGGGTATGAGTGGGAAAGTGGGACCTTTGGGGAAGAGCTGGGGGAGTGGAAACTATAAGAATACATTGTGTGTGAAAAAAAAATCTATTTTCATTAGAAATAATAAAATTACGTGTGGGAAAATTAACTAACTAGTTAAAAATAAAGTCATGAAAAGTCTTGAGAGAAAGGGAAAACAATGAAAAAGAAACATTTCTAATAAAGATAATGATATGGGATGTTATATTAATGATATGGGATGTTCTTTTACTAAAAGAGACCATTTTGGAACAATTGCTAATAGCTCAGTAAATTAGTAGTTTGTAGCTGTGTTCATTTCCCAGTGTTACTGTTTTCCAGAAGAGCAGCAGTACTTCTTGGAAGTGTGAACTGAAATATTTGGGGATTATGGGACATCATGGCCAATAATGAGTCTCAATATCTATGCTCCTGGAGGTTAAAACCTGGGATGGATCTTTTCTCAATCCTGGCAGGGGAGATTCTGAAAACTTAAGATAGAAATCTTAAGGTCTTATAATGATTAGTTTAATAAGTAGCCAGGATAGAATTGTCTATCAATGGGTATGCATGTATAAATGAACATGTCTAAGGTTAATTATTATCATTAATATTATTCAAGACATAACCTTGTAAGCACAAAAGGACTGCTGGGGCACCATTAGCTGATTACAGACACATGTGGAAAACACTCACGTGCACATGAATTTCTTGCACTCCACCCAGCTTACCTATATTCCATTCCTTATTTACCACCCAGAACCATGTACTCCAAAAGGCCACATCCCTCAAGGGTTCCTTTAACTGATACCCTTCAGTTTCAGCACACACTCATGATCTTTGGAATAAAGCTGTAGATGTCTGAGAGGATCTCAGAGATTAGCAAGTCCTACCCACTTTTAGAACATAAGGACATAAAGTCTCTGGCACCCAGGGGGTCTTCTGCTTCTCCTAACCTTCCCACCACAAGGACTGTTTAATCAAAATGCCATTACCAACTCCACCTGGCAGGAACTAACACATCTCCTGATTGTGCAGGGTACACCTTCTGCTTATGTACTCATAAGTAGCCAAGTATTAATGTGTAAATCCTCATCTTCTTGGTCTCTGGTAACACCTGTTGCTTGGGAATCTTTGCTAACATTAAGCACAGCTCAATACAAGGTAAAAATGCTCACATGGCTTTAGGACAGCCCATAGCATCTGGGCCCAGCAGCTGGTTTACTTGTAACAGTAACTCAGCCCAACAGAAGAGCAACAGCAAAGGCAACTTTTCTGTCCTAACCACTGATACACATGCCCTGGCTATGAGCTCAGATATCTTATTAGGCATTGATACACATGGATAAGTAAGCTACCCTTTCTGTTTTCATGTGCTGCTCAAAGTTCAAAGGCCTGTCATCTTCCATCAGAGATAATTTCCAAGGAATAATCATTTTAGCCACTCTTTTATGATACAGGTTTTACAAGGGCCATCTTCCATAAGGCAAAGTTAAGTAGGTTTAATGATACAAAGTACTTCCCTTCTTATTTTATCATTACACTGAAAAGAATAATGTAAGTCAGAGCTGGATCAGAGAAAGTTACTGTGTATCGGGCAAGGCAGAAGCCAAGAGGCACCTGTAGAAAGCAGCTGATATTCCTTGTGTGACTGACATTTGCTCTGGCCACACCTGCTTTTTAACACATGGAATGCTTTCAGAGAGTCGATCTAAACTCTTGTGGTTCTCATGATCTGAAAGTCTGCTGCTCTAGGCATATGCATATGCTAAGCATTTTCCCACCCAGGAAGACCTAAGAGAGAAATCCCAGGAAGTTTGAGGCATCTCATTTTGACCCTGTGAGTGCTATTCACAGTCTATTCACACCAGTGTCTGATTTCAGCAGCTGGCCCCAACAGGCCAACTGTGGAATCTCCAATGCCAGGAGGCAGAGAACTCACTGAGATCCTCAAAGCCACACAGATGAAGAGGTAGAGGACTGATAGGTAGATCTGAAGCCTCTTCCCACCAAACCGCTTCCTGAGGTATTCTGGCATGGTCATCACCTGCAAAGACAGACATCAATAGGAATTCACCTCGAGCCTAGTGCATTCAGATGATTTTACATTTGCTTAATGACTTCAGATAGCTAAGCACTATGCAAGACATCTTGGGGATACAGAGGCAAGAAAGACACAATTCCTCAGTAGAGTGATGATTATGGAATAAACTCAAGCACCAGAGGCAGAATAACAATCACTTCCTGGCTCTGATATTTACTACATATTATGACACTTTTGGCGAATGACAGTCTCTGAACTTCCTTTTTCTTAAAGTAGAAGTTTAGTGCAAAAGTATAAATAAAGTACCTACAACATTACCAAATATCTGTATGACACTCAACAAATATTTTTATTATTATTACTAGTAATGCTGCAGTACAGCAAAAAACAATACTTGTAAATAATAAATTGTAATATAATCGTAACAAATTGATTATTGAGTACATTGTAAGATACATTAGATTATGTATTTATATGATTCCCTTTACTGAAAATAAGATTTACAAGTATGAACTTAGAGAAAAACCTTAATTTTCATTACTGAAGTAAGAGATTGCTCACGGGACATCTAGAATAAGTAATGTAGCTTTCTGTGTCTTTCAGAGTGATTGGGCTCATTATTTAATCTCTTCAGATACAAAAATATGTTAATAAACACATACATCCTTTTTGTCAAAAATCAAGAAGAAAGGTTCCTAACAGACCACCAATGGAGAACAGCCCTGGAGAAATGGCCAGCTACAGACATGTGTCTTCTGGAGCATGCATCTTCTGGGGCATGTGTCTTCTGGGGCATGTGTCTACTGGGGCATGCACTCTAGAACCAAGGATAGCATCTTTCAACAGGAAAATCAGGAATGATAACTTTGCACCTTCTGCAGGAGTGCAAAGGAGGAGCTCCTCATCCAGGGTAGGTTTTCAGACAATCATCCTGAAGAAAGGTCATTTGAAGACCTGGTGTTTGCTCACGGAGGCATCCTCAAAGCTATACGAGGGTCTGAAGCAATGTTTCCAAAGAGCAGGATGCCCATATTGGTTCCCACACAGCTCTCCCTCCTGATCAAACTGCACATCTCTGCATGTGTGTCCTATAGGCACCAACACACACACACAGTTACATTGTTAATTCATTACTGTCCTATTCTCCATCTCTGGCCTTTCTCTGTAATTCTTGCTCCATCTATGGAGCACTTATGGATCCTGATCCCCAAACGTCAAGCCTCCAAATTACTCATACTGCCTTTATCCCGAATCTGTTAACAAACATGTCACAAGGAACCAAGAAGTGGTTTCTCTTCCTTGCTATTTCCTTCCTTGAGCCTCACTTTGGCTGGTATGAACTTTTAAATTATTATTTTTGAGATATGGTCTCATGTAGCCCAGGCTAGCCTCCAACTTGATGTATAGCCAAACATGATGTTAAACTCCTGGTCTTTCTGCCTGTGCCTCCTAAATTCTGGTTTTACAGGCAAGTCCTACCACTCAGTCACAAGATTTCATAAATATTTGTGTTCATATGTATGTATGTATGTATGTGGAGATTGGAGCACACCCATTGATGTTGTCTCAATGGTACCATCCACCTTGTCTTTTTGAGACAGGTAGAACTTGGTGATTGGGCTAGACTGCCTGTCTAGGAAGCCCTAGGGACCTGCTCATCTCTGCTTCCTCGGTGCTGGATTACAAGCACCTGCTGTCTTGCCCAGCATTTTTACAGAGGTGCTGTGGGTCAAACTCATCACCTCATGTTTGCAGGGCAAGCACTTCACTGGCTGAGCTATTGTCCCAGCCCCAGATCACATGAACTTTTGTTCAAGTCCATTTTGCACTCAGACGCCCAAGTGAAACTTCATAAAATGGAAATCTACTCATGACTCTTGAATCCTTGAAAGCCCTGCACCTCCCATTTCCAAGAGGATATAGAATACTTCAAGGTTTTATTAAATTTGTTTATTCATTTTTGTGTGTACATGCATACACACAGAGACACACACACAGCAAGGTGTGCATGTGGGGATCAGAGGAACACTTGCAAGAACTGATTTTCTCTTTTTGACATGTGAATCCTTGGTACTGAACTCAGGTGATCAAGCATGACAGCAAGTGCCTTTACCTACTGAGACAGCTCTCTTGTCCTAAGACACTCTTTTTTAAATGGTATCATAGTTTTAAAATTTTAGCCATTATACAAAGTATATAATAGCTTTATATCATTGTAATTTTTATTTTATGGGTATGAGTGCTTGCCTACATACATGTCTGTGTACTATATGTGTGCAGTGCCTGAGGAGGTCAGAAAACCGTGTTGGCGTCACTAGGATTGGAGTTACAGACAGATGTTACAGAGTTACAGATGGATGCTGGGAATTGAATCTGGAGCCTCTGCCAGAGCAGCCAGTGCTCTTAACCATTGAGCCATCTCTCCAGCTCCTATATCATTGTATTTTTAGCACACTTTAATTATATAAAACAATGGGCTTCACTGTGATATTTTCACCCGTGTGCAAGCAGACTTTGACTGTCTCCCCTCTGTTACTTCCTCCTGCACAATCCCCTCTTCCACTGCTCCCATCCCTTCCCCCACGTAGAGAAACACATGGAACTTTCACAACCTAACCCCACCCCCACTGTGCCTACTGCCTCCTCTACCTCTCATCACTCTTCTCCCACACAACTCTCTAATTAGCCTTAATTTTAACTGAGCTCCAAATATTCCAGGAAAGAAAGATTTTCAGCTTCCATATATTGATTCCATCATCCAATTTTTCTACCTGAAGAATTCAGCCTTATCCCCCCAAGACTGGATCACCACTGAAGCACTTCTCCCAAGACATGCCTGTGACTCCAGCTTTCCTCCCACCTCGGGCTTACATCTACCACAGTGATCACTGGGCAGAGGCACCAATGACTTTTCACCTGGTGACCAACACATTGTGTATTGGGGGACCCTATGGCCAAACAATTTGATATTTTTTTCTGTATATTATTAGCAATGGGACCAATGAAGAACAAGTACCCGGGTTTCATGATTTAACAGAAAGAACAAATGGGTAAATAAATAAATAAATAAATACATTAGATACTTACCCCTGCCTTGATGTAGATGGGGACAAAGAACCACCCCAGAACCAGCAACAAGAGAAACGACTGTAACAAACCAAGGGCAGCGTGAAGTTAACGGAGTTTGGTTTGTGACTTTATTTATTTATTTTTTTTAAAGATTTGTGACTTTATAATGTCATGACCTCTGAAGCTCGAGACAAACTAACACCATCACTTTCCTTAGCTCCTGTCTAATGTAGTGTTATACAATATAATACCTACTATTTGTCAAAACAAGCAAAAGATAAATTGTTTTAAATTCACCTAAGATAAGATTATACAACCTTTGTCAAAATCAATGATCTTAGATGGGAGAATTATCCATGAGTGTCAAAGCATTGAGAAAAAAACTGAGGAAAGAAAAGAACATCCTCAGGTCCCTTTAAGTCTTACCAAATATAGCTATTGATATAATCTGGTATTAAAAGTGCAGATTTTATGACATCTCCACGCATAACACCGCTATTCTTGCCACAACTAGTGAAGCAGGTCTCATGAGCAGAGTTATCAAGGTCCTATATAGAAAGGATGTGAGCTTTATTAAAATTAAAGAAATTCAAGTTCAAAACTATGAAGATTAGATGTCTGCAACACGATAGTGATATACATTGGGTTATAGGTTGTTTTCTTCATGCCTATGGAGGCAACCTTCATTATACAGTTCATGGCACTATCCGATCAAATCCCAGGCCACAAGGCATATCAGGCCAAAGCCTGGGTATGTGCCTGATATTTCGGAAGTAAAAATAGGCAAAAACAAAACAAGACGACCTACAGCATTGGAAAAGCAGAGACATTTATGAGTGACGCAAGGTCACTTCCAGTGTCCATCAGGGCAGTTTGTTTAAAATTGCACTGGAGTCCAACTTTGTCTATTCTACCAATATGAACATATACAAGAACATTGGAAAGGGTAAGATAGCTTAGTTGGTGAAAGCACCAACGGCGCAAGCCTCACAACCAGAGTTTAATCTCCGGAGCCCATGTTGGGGAAAAAAGAACAGACTCCTGAAATGCGTGCTCTGACGTGCGCTGTGGAGAACAGTGAAAACACAGGCTCTTCATGAGCTGTGTGTGATGCTCTCACCACCTGCCCGGCTGTGTGATAGAGTGATGTGGGTGGAGGGAAGCCATGTTCTCTGTTCTGAAGAACTTAGGGTCTAGTTAAGGGATGCAGCGTCTGTAGAATGGTAACAGGTTGGTCATGAAGTCCTGTAGGTTTGGTATGTCATCTTTCAAAACATTCATTCCTTACTATAGTGACAATGTCCCCTCAGGCCTAACTTGGGTTTCTACTCATCCTTCTGGCACAAACATCTGCAAACCCTTATGGTATGTGCCATCAACCCTTATTGTCTACAATGGATATATACCTCCTGTGTGATCTCTGTGGTAAAATGATTTTCAAGAATTGCCTATGCAGTTTCTCTTCCCTCTCTGTCTTTTCCTGTGCTCCTCACTCCCACTCATGATCTATTTTATTATTGGTGTGTGTGTGTGTGTGTGTGTGTGTGTGAGAGAGAGAGAGAGAGAGAGAGAGAGAGAGAGAGAGAGAGAGAGAGAGAGATGCTCAGTCCATTTAGAATTGCTGGAATGTATATGTGTTTAATGCTGACCACTTGGGACTGTTCAACCTACCAGGAAAAAAGTCACAGGGAAACATTTACATGGTGTGACCTCTCAATGTGACAAATGCTTCTGTCTCTGTGCTTTCCACATCATAGTTAGAGCACGCTTGTCTGCTCCACTTGATCATAAACTGTGTCAAGAAGGGGACATTGCTCTTTCTGTTATTTACTTATTTACTTATTTTGAGACAGGGTCTCATTATATAGCCTGGCTGGCCTGGAACTCACTAGGTACACCAGATTGATCTCCAACTCACAGAAATCTGCCTGCTGCTGCCCCTGTCCCGGCTCCTGTCCCTGCCCCTGCCCCTGCTATCCAGTGCTGGGATTACAGCCCAAATGCCTGAGCTACTTATTAACCTTTCAGTGTGTCTATGGTGCACACATAGGTGCAGAGGCCCAAGACTGACATTGGGAATCCTCTTCAACTGCTCCTACACCTTGTTCTTTGAGGCAGAGGCTCTTAATCAAACCAAAAGCTCCAGATACAGCTCTTCCCGCTACCCAAATTGTCAAATCCCTTGTCTCCACCAC